TAATCCGTTCACTTGAGAGATATTTACTGAGTGCCTACCATGTGCTGTGCATTGTTCCAAGTGCTGGAGCTACAGGAGAGAACAAAACTGAGTCCCTGCTTTTGTGAAGCTTACATTTTACTGGGGGTGGAGAGGAGGCAGACAGCAGAGACAACGCTAGGCAATGCAAGAGCTAAGCAAAAAAGGGCAGAGAGAATGAATGGGAAAATGTGGGTGTGCTCTTTTCCATAGGAGGACCTTTCTGATAGGTAGCACTTGAGCAGAGACTGAAACCAAGGGGAGGCTACAGCTTCAGATGATCTGGAGAGAATAACAGAACATACCAGAGACAGTTATTATGAGGATTGTATAATATTAAGGATATAAAATCTAGCACCTGGCACATAGTAAGCCCTCAATAGATGGTGGCTATAATTGTTTTTATTTGTTGTAAGGCATGTTTGAATAAAATCCATTAGAAAAATGGAATTCATCACATTACCTTCATTTTGGGAAGATTATGACAAGTCACAGCTTGGGAGTTCATACCTTCTAGACTCTATATTTATAACAGGTAAAAATGCCGATTTCAACCAAACCTAGGTTTCCAGGGCACTGGCAGCTAATGAAAATGAGGAAAATAATATCTCCAGGCTCATCCTGCAGGAAGAAGTATGCTAAGTGTGATTTCTCACCACCCAGCTTCCATTTCAGGCTGATTAAGTCACTTTAACGGTGAGTTCCTATTACCTAAAAAGGGCTCTGAGGGCTTGTTACTCCTGGGCAGTGGGAGGTTGGGAAAGAGGGGTGTGGAGGGTCATGTGAAGTAGAACTGCATAGAGACCTCATGGTCTTCGTTTCTCCATTGCTGAGGTGAGAGATCTGGAAACTCAATGTGTGAGTGTGTGTGGGGGGGTGGGGGGCAGTGGTAGGGGGGAGTAGGGAGGTTGGAGGGACAGCGAGAGAGGGGTGAAGAGAGGGATAGGGAGAGTAGAGGGAGAGAGAGAGAGATCCCCTGACCTGGAATAATAATGGCACTAATTATTAAGACAATCATCTCAAATGCCCAAATATACGTGTCTAAGTTTAAGAGCCCTAATTCTTGATTTTTAGTCCCAGTCCTGAAATAACCAATTGAGCGATACTGGGTAAGTCATTTCCCCTCTCTGAGTCCTCATCATGTTAAAGGGCTCAGGCCCCAGAGAAAAGTAGATCAAGGCTTGGTTCTTAGGCCGGCATGATCTTGGGTACGTTACTTAACTGCTTGGAGCCTCATCTGTTAAATGGGCATTTTAACAGTGAACTGCACCTTTTGAGGTAGCTAATACAGATAGAGTGCAGCATGGTGCATGGGATATGGCAAATGATCAATGAGTGCTAGATACCAGCATTTTCACCTGCTAAATACCTATCCTGCTCTCCTCATTGGCTATTCTGAAGAAGAATCAAGGGACTAGGTAAGAAAACGCTTTGTAATGTAAATGGTACTTTACAACTGTAAGGTGTTATTATTAAATTATCACCATGATTATTGCATTATATTAAGTTATGATTTTGAGCAGGGGATATAGTTTTTATAGACATGCTTCTCATAAGCTCCTTTGGTAACAAGACTGATTTTGAAAGGTTATCTTCTATGAAAGATAAAGTCACATTCTTGCTTTGAAAAGCTGAGCCTCTCAGCACTGAAACAGAACAGGTTCATCACACAGGAAGGATTAATTAGCTGTAGAATATTATTAAATGTTCTCACTCTCAATACCCACATAGAACCGGAAACTATGAAAGTGAGCAAGAGGTAATCATAGCACAGGGAAGAAAAAAAAAAAGACACAGTTGCTGGTGGTGCATATTTCAAGAGCAGAACATGTTAGTAAATTATAATCTGATTCATAGCACATCAGCTCATTCTCTTTTTGGAGTCATTGTTCTGAATCTAGTCTTCAGGGTTGCCTGCTTCTTTTTTTTTTGGTTTTTTTCTTCTAGCACTGGGATCAAAAAGAAAAGGAAGCTGGACTTTTCATTGTTTACATTTAAAGAGTGCTGTGGTGTGGATGTTTACACTGAAATGCAGGATATTTGAAAGACTAGGAAAGAAGAGGAGGCAAATACAGATACAGGTATTTATAATTATACAGCAAATATAAAATGTCTCTCCAAATTATTTGAGAATTGAAAATTTTCAAATAATGGAAAAATAACAGAGGTTCCTAAAAGTGATTGCTCCAGCGGGCCTTAGGGATGACAGAGTCCGGTGACCGCAGAACCCCTTGTCTCAGCTACCAGGGGCAAGTGCCGTAAATGCAGATTCCTCTGGGTCTCCTCTCTGGGGATGGGTCTCGGGAATCTGCATTTCCTAGTCCTCTGCTTGGCAGCGTAGAAACCAAGCTTGGAGGGAAGAAATGGGATTTATCAGCTGGGTCAAACAGCTGGTTAGTAAGAAAGCAGGAACCAGAATTGGAATTTTCCAACTCCCAGCCACACCGCAGGGCCTCCTTCTCTGTTTCATCTGAAGTCCACTTTATTGGCCTCACTGGCTTGGCATGGAGAGGATCTCTGCTCTCGTGGAAACTGAAATAGGCCTTCTCTCCTCTTTATCATAGGGATGGAATTTTCCCAGGGGTTAAGCACAGATATATGAAATCCCACAGTATGCCATAGACGGTAGGATTCCACAGTGGGGTCTACAGATAGCATTTGAGAAATTCCACCCACATAGCAAACAAGGGCAAGGTATAGCCTGGGCAGAAGTTCATGGTATAAACTCTAAGCGGCACTTAATCCAGCTGTTTTCCCAAGATTGGCATGTCTCGAGGGGCAAAAGACAGTCTTATTCCTGTCATATTGCCAGGACAGTGTTTGCCACTTCGTAAATATCAGTGAGTAGTTTGTAGAATAAATATAACAGTACAAAAAGTATAAAAAAGAAAAGTAACATGAATTGTCTTATATATAGGCCTACTATCAGTAGGGAGTAATAATAGCAATGATGATGATGATGATGATATTAATACTAAAACAACAGCAGGGAACTAACATTATTGAGTGCTTCCTGTGAGCCACCACTACACAAGCTGAGCTCTTTCTTACACAAAATATCATATTGAATCCTCACAACAATTCCAGGAAGCAGCGACTGTCATCACCCCCTTTATACAGATGAGACATTGGAGGCACAAGGTGTTCAAATATAGCCACATGCCACATGATGTTTTGGTCAATAACATTGGTTCCATAAGATTATAATACTGTATTTGTACTGTCCCTTTTCTATGTTTAGATATGTTTATATACAAAAATACTTACCATTGTGTTATAATTGGCTACAGTGTTCAATACGGGAACAGGCCCTACAATTGCATAGCCTAGGAGCAACGGGCTATGCCATGTAGTCTGGGTGCATAGCAGGCTATACCATCTAGGTTTGCATAAGTATTCTCTATGATGTTTTCACAATAATGAAGTCACCCAACGATGCATTTCTCAGAATATATTCCCATCATTAAGTGATACACGACTGTGATATGTCCAAGGTCACCAGTGGAAAGTAACGGAGCCAGAATTCTAACCCAGCCTGGACTGACTCAACGTTAATACTCTTCCCTACTCCATTTTCCAGCCTCCAAACCCCCTGCACATTCAGAGCATCAAGGCTGTTGCCACTTCCACCCAGTCTGGTAAGGTGGACTTGCCTGGAGGTTCTCCAGAGTCGAAGGTATAGGCTGATGAAGGAAACAGCATCACCAATGCTTGTTGGCTCAGAAGCAGCTCAGCTGAAGACCATGTGCCCATTAGTACAGGGTAAATACCTAATAGTCTAGCACGGTAGTCGTCAAAGAGTGTATATTCAAAAAGCAACTGCTGAATAAGCAGGTGTATCCATAAATGAATTATTGAACAAATAAACAAGTGAGCTAATCAAACGTACAATGACTATCTCATTTTAGCTTTCAAACATAGGGCAATAACCTCTTTTCCTCACATTTACTTCACTGTCTCCCTTCTTACTTTTTGGTCTTTAGTAGGTAGAGCAGCTGGTGTCTGAAATCACATATTTTACACAGTTTTACAAGTCCTTTGGGGCTAGGGCTATATCAACATGAGGCTGCTTTACTGCTCACATTGAACGTGTTCAAAACTAAACTCATCATCCAGTCCTAAACCACTTTACTTGACATCTATAGACCCTTCCCTTGAAAGTTCACCTTGAGAAATCCATTTTTAATGCCACTTCCCTATGAGAATTTTTCTGGTCTCCAACAACTATAGGTAATTTCTTCCTCCTTTAATCAAACTGCAATTCTCCAACACGGTGCATTTCTCTTACTATATTTAATGCCATAATCATTTCCATATTAGCCTTACAAATCCTCTTTCTTTATCAGACTATGTGTTTCTGAAGAGCAGGAGGGAAGCTACTCAGACTAAGAGTGGAGACCATATATTGAGGACCAGCCATAGAGGAAGCGTTTTCTATCTTTTTGCATTTCTTCCTCGTAAGTCCATGAACAGTAGGTACTATGTTTGCCGTTTTGCAGATGGAGAAACTAAAAATAACTTGCATGTTGAAAGCTCAAAAAGGTTAAGTGACTAGTGGAATATTTGGGTAAGTGGTAGCATTTGAAGCCAGGTCTGTCAGATGATTCAGTTTGTGTTCTGAATCACAAGACTGCAACTTGCCATCTAGGTTCTCATTCCCGTACCTTGAGTACAGAGGTGCTCAAGACATTTTAGATAATGTGAACAACAGAGGCTAAGATTATAGTAACGTCTGGCAGTGGCCATGTGGGCAAGTCTTCTGGGACAAACACGGATTTGTAGTCATTAGAGGGCTTGGCACCTTTCCTGCTCCTCCATCTGCCACCAGAGAGAGACTGGGGTAGGCTGGGTCTCTGCCTATTGGCAGAGACCTCTACCTCACCGGTCCATTACAGTTGCAACCTACAGTAACAACCAGCACATGGCCAACCTTAGGAGACCTGCCCCTGATCGTGGTGGCCAGCACAGCCACGTGCACTCACCCGCAGGGTTGTGATGGTGGCAGGATCCCGGAGCCGGCCCTCCTCATCTTTCAGATTGTAGCCTTCGGGCCTCTTATCACGCTCGCTGACTTTCCACAGCTTCACAGTTTTATCTGTAGTGGGCAACCAGATCAAATCAGAATTACAGTGAAAAGCAAGCTTCTAAGGGAGTTTTCCTGGGGGCAGTTAGGAGAGGAAGAGGTAAGTATGGAGAGAATTGCTACAGAAGCTGGCTCAGGTAAAGGCTTGCTGTGCATAATTCCCATGTGATTTGAAGGCAGAGCTCATATTTCAAAACAAAAACATATATCATACTGGGACAAATGGTTTTCCCTGACAATGGGCTCTCCAATCTATAGCTTATAGATTAATTTAGCTCATTCAATAAGAGCATTTATTGAACATTTCAAAACAAAATATTTCAAAACAAAAACATATACCGAGACAAATGTTTTTCCCCGACAATGGGCTCTTAAATCTATAGCTTATACTTTAATTTAGCTCATTCAATAGAAGAATTTATGGAACATTGAATAATAAGAGAAGTGACATACACAGAGCTTACAATGTAACTAAGCATTTTACATGAAAAATTGGTTTAATAATCATGACTCTGGAGGTATGTGCTATTAATTATCTCTTTTAGCATCCCACCTCACTGACATATTGTCCTCACCATGTCCTAAAAAGCTCTTGATGACCTGCCCTCTCCACTTTCTCCAACTTTCTGATCTCCCTGTCCACCCTCTCCCTGCTCACTCACTGTGGTCCTGCCACATGGCTTCCCTGCCACTCCTGGTACACATTAAGCTCACTCTGGCCTCGGGGCCTTTGCACTTGCTATGTCTTCTGCCAGGAAAGCCCTTTACCATCTTTTTTATGTAATTTGCTCCTTCACTTTGCTCTTGCTGCTTGCATCCCAACCTTAGAGAGGCTTATGTAAAACCTACCTAAAAATGCTGTCTTTAGAACCTTTCTTTATCTCCTCTCTCCTGCTTTATTTTTCTTCATAATACTTTTTACTACCTGACAATTGGTTGATTATTTATCAAATAACGATCTGTCTCTCTCATTAGAGTATAACATTGTTGAAGGTAGAGACTCTGTTTATCACTGTACCACCAGCACCCAATACAGTGCCTGACACATAGTAGCTGCTCAATAAACATTAGTAGGGCAAATGAACAAATCTCATCTACTTACACAGTGCATATTTCTAGCAATATTTAGGAAAATAAAACAGTAAGGAGATACATCAAAATGCTCCTTTCCTTTTGCGCCTCTATGGAGTCTCCAGCTGGAAACTATCTTTCTTACTTTTGTACTGCCCCAGCACTTTATACGACTTGATGACACCGGCCATTCTCCATAGCATTGAAACAGAGAACCCTCATCTCTACAGAACTCCCATGAGCACTCCCATCTCTACAGGGGTCATGCAGGCCAAAGAAATCAGTAAAAAGGGCTAAAGGATCTGTGAAGCTGGAATGGCCTGCCTCACATGCAGGCTTTTAATTCCATTTTTTAAAGGGACATGTTCAGGCCAAACAAATCATGTCTGCCAGCCACATGCCTTGGTGGGCTTTCCTTAACAGATCCAATGTACATTTTTTAATACTTATTTTAACATATCTTTTGGAAGGCAGAAACTTGGTTGCCTTCTTTGTATTTCTCTCTATCCTGCACAAGCTAGGCTTTGGAATTAGACAACCTTGAGCCTAATCCCCACTCTGACAACAGCCACAAGGCCAAAGACAGGGGTTCCCACACAGTAAGTACATAACTAGTCTGTCCGTTTGTCTGTCCATCTATCCTTCCCTCCCTTTTTTCCTTCCTTCATTTCTTCCTTCATTCCCTTCTTCCTTCCCTTCTTCTCTCCTTTCTTCCCTTCCTCTCTTCTTCTTCCTTTTTTTTTTTCTGAGATAGGGTCTCACTCTGTCACCCAGGTTGGAGTACAGTACAGTGGCATGGTCACGGCTCACTGCAGCCTCAACTTCCTGGACTCAGGTGACTCATCTCAGCCTCCAGAGTAGCCAGGACCACAGGCACACACCATCACACCCAGCGATTATTTTTTTTGTAGAGACAAGGTTTGTCATGTTGCCCAGGTTAGTCTCGAAATCCCAGCCTTAATCAATCTGCCCATCTTTGCCTCCCAAAGTGGTGGGATTACAGGCATGAGCCATCACAACCGACCATAACTAGTATTTCTTAAGCAACAAATAGGACTGCCAGATTTAGCAAGAAAAAAGTACAGAACACCCAGTTAAGTTTGAACTTCAGATAAGCAAAAAATAATTTTTTTAGTATGAGTATATCCTACATAGTTCATTCTTACAAAGAAAGATGGTTTCTTTGTGCCTCAGTTTCTTCATTTGTAAACTGGGGAAATAGTGTCTTTCTCATGGGGCTGCTATGAGGATTAAATAAATCACAGCATGTAGAGTGTTTAACACAGTGTTAGGCTTCTAATAATGGTCCACAAATGACAGCTTTTATCAGAATTAGCAAATTGGGCAACTATTCTGCCATAATAACATGTTGCTCTGACAGCTTTAGCTTCATCCCTTGATGATGTCAGCACATACTATTTCTTCTCTGTAAACACTGTCAGGGGAGAAAAGCTGTCCCTCTGGGATTTCCTTCCTTTTTTGCCCCTTGCTTCACTCCTCCACTTCTCCTCACCTGACTTCCTGCCATCACCTCTCAATTCTCATGCCTTCAGGGGGACAGATCTTCAAAGCAGGATATGTGGATCACAGTTCCATTTGCCTTGAAGCTGCCAGAAACAAATGCCTTATTCTTAGAGGTCTTAATATACTACATTGTGAAGTGGGCTTTCAGCAGCAAATAAGTGCCCAGTTTCTCGTATCTGGGCATCACTCGGGCTGCTCATGTCTGACACACTGGCAAGGCTGCTAAGTGTATGATTTGTGTGCTCTGAATTGTGCAGTCACCCTGGCTTGTGCTGGAGCAAAAGGAGATCCTGCTGCATACTGAACTGCTTTTTAGGTTGAGAAAATGAGCATGGGCCATATTTATACAGTCATGTGATTAGATCTTCATCAGCTGTGGCTTAGAGCATCCCAAGAGTCAGTAAATCTTAATACCAAATATTTTTCGTTGCTTGGGTTTGGAATGTATCCTATCCCATTTGCAAAGCTAACACTGTATATTTTTCTTATCATGAATGATAAATTGCTATACAGAGAAACAGAGAAACCATGGGTACAACATAAAGAATAAAAATCACCTACAACCTCTCTAGTCAGGGATGATCGTCATCAATATTTTGCATAAATCATTATAGTACTTTCTCTGTGTACTTTTGGGGGAGAATACAAATCTATAATATTGCATATATAGATTTGTTATTTTCTCATTTTATTTCCTTCTTTTTATTATACAAATGGCACACAGAATGGTTATTAAAATAATCATAAAGGTAAAGAAGACCTCCCTTAATTCCACTACATAGAGATAACTATTATAAAATTTTGTGATTCTTTTTTATGTTGATGTATACAATTATATAATTGTTTTTAGTAAGTATAATATGGCATACTTAGTTTATAGTATGCATTTGCCTAGTCATATTTATTTATACCAACATATATCCCTGCAAATGTATTTATAGGGATAGAATATGTTATGTATACTATAACATTATAGTATATATGATTTATAATAGTGAGAATTTGTTAACAGCTAAAGGAGTAATAGTAGGAGGCTTACTAGTAAAGCACAGAAGAATCATATAAGGAATACTATGTGGTCATTATGGTATTTTAGAATATTTAGCAATTGGGAAGATATTCATATTATTAAATGTTATGTTAATAAAAATCTAGCTACAAAAGAGTTTGCAGAATATATCCTATTTCTGTTAAGAAAGAAACAGATTTATTCATGCCTTTTTGCTTTTTTCTTTAAAAAACATTAACAGTAGTTCTCTCTGGATGGGAACACTTTTATTATCTATGTTTTTCTGTATTTTTTTTTTTTTTTACGATGAACGTGTACTAATTTCATAGCAAGAAAAACAAATTCAGTATACCTCCCCTTCTCATTGTAGGTATTAAAGTGGAAGTAGAAAATGAGGTAAAACAATGTGTTTTCATGTGGTAAATAATTTGAGAGTCTAGATTCACAATAGAATGTTGGTTTTATTTTTTATTAAAATTGTAAGGTTGAAAATATATTCTAGCAGAAAGTAAAAACTGTTCCCAACTATAATAAGATAAGCACTGCATTTTCTTAAAGATAATTGATGGTGAATTCAATCCAATTCCCCATGGTTGGGTTGCCTGGAGTCATTCTTGACTTTATTATCACACTATTTTTCTTGACTCAGTGTCTTGAAGCTTTGTGAATAAAAGAGTCTAAGGAACATGTGGCTGTTAATATGAGTAATGACTTTTTCTTTCTTCTTACTGGTTCTCTGAGTAGTTTATCATCACTTGTGGCGGCTTTTAAACACAATCTTATCATCTATCTTCATTTTCTCTTTTGTACAGTAATTTCAATTGTCTTCCATTAATTTTTGCGTGTTAACCTATTTGGCCTAAGGGGGATTCTCAACCTCAATATTAGTATAAAAAAGAAAATTACATAAGAACATGGGAATTTTTCTTAGAAGAATCATTTTGAGATGCTGTTGGCATATGAAATGGTATCCCAAATGGGAAGATAATATCTTTGTTAATCAAAAAACTATTTAAAAACTCAATTAACAGAATATTATGCTATATAATTAATCTTCATTGCATTTCACTGATTTCTTTCCCATCTCCCCAACAAAGTAGTTAGTAAGTCCTTGAGTTTCACTGCAATAATCAATAGGCTGAATTTCATAATATAAGGTTAGTTAGCTACAGAAGACAATTAGACATGTTTCCTCTGCCTGAAGTAATTAAGTCACAATTATCAGAAGTCTCTTTTATTCTGAGTAGTGTTGAATCTGCAAAGCCTGTTAATGAAACTTAAATAGTAAAATTAAAAGATTAAATAGTAAACTTAAATAGTAAAATTAAAATACATGGTTTGGCTTCCAAGAAATCCAATTACAAAATGTAGACAGAACAATAAATATAGTTCTGAGAAAGAATCAAACTACTTGGAGCCTGGAAAAACAGACGAGGAGAGATCTGGTCATGAGGGGATGGGATATGCTTGGCTAACCCTAAACCAGCTGCTTCTGAATTGTCATTTTTTAGACTTCTACGATGGCTTTATATTTGAGAGATTTGGGGTTCAAGTGCATTAAATAACTTCCCCCTTTTTTCCATAAGATTAATATAAGACTCATTGTAAAAACTTTACAAGTTATAATGATAAAAGGAACAAATTTACAGGTTACCCATACTGTACAAAAATTAATCATGGTGAACCTTACGGTGTATTTCCTTCCAGTCTTTAAAAATATTCATGTATGTTTGATCACATCATTTACACTGTATTTTTTCACTGAAAATATGAACATTTCTCTTTCTTTTTAAATATCTTGCTTCTTGCTTCTCAATTTAAATTAAAATGTATATTCCTCATAGACTCACAAATAAGATAAAATGAATCATTCTCCAGCTCGTTTTCTTGGGAAAGGGTGTTTAATTTTTAAATACGAATCCTCTTAATTGTTATGCTATTCAATTAGCACCCTTTAACATATGACTTTATGCCAAGTTGTTTTGAGCTTAGATGGCTTCTTTTAGCAAGGATTTAAGAACCTAGAGGTTAGGTAATTCCCATATATAAAGACTTACCCAGTGATTATGTAATTTGTCTCTGTATTCAATATCCAACATTTTCTCTCTCTGACCTATTTATATCAATTCCTTCTCATCCAACAAAGGGTATAAGTGTGGAGGGAGATAGGGAAGATAACCCTTTCTTGATCAGTTTTTTGATAAATGTCCTATTTCTTCTTGACTTGTGTTCCTATCTTACAGCTTAATTATTGTCAGAGAGACACACAGCCATCTGCTTTACAGACCCTAAAATATATTCAGGGATTAATAACTTCTATTCAATATGCCAACCTCACAGAGACAGCATGTTGAGTATCCTGAAATGTATTCCCAGAATAACATTCAGTGAATCTTAAGACAGGAAGTCGCATTCCTAAAACACCTGCAAATAATCTGCAATAGTTGAAAACTGCAGATAATGGGCCTCACATAATTGGGCCATAAATTTGATATTTTTAAAAACAATAGTTACTATTTAGTCAGGGCCTAATCTGTGTGTGCCAGGCACACTGCTAAGCATCTTGTAAATGTTAGTTTCTAAGTTTTTCAACAACCTGCACGGTTCAAAGGAAAACTGAGGCTAAGAGAGATTGAAATATATAGTTTGGCTGACTGCATCTCCGAAAATACCAAACAGGAAAAGTCACTTCCACCTACCATTAGTAGACAGAAGAAAGTAAGCTGCATTCTGCTGGGGGAGCCATCTTATTTTATTGATTTTTTCTTCTATTTCTAAACTCTTCAGGTAATCGAACTCGGGTTCATGGCTCTGGAATGTGCTGTAAACATTGTATTCACCCCTACGATGAATCTGATTTTTACTCTGTAAGAAAGGAAAAAAATACACAAAAGATTAAATCATGCTGGCCAACTGCAAAACTCACCAACTCCCTTTTTTCCCAGCCTAGTCATTAGGGGTGGGATGAGGGAAGGGCCATGATAGTCACTGGCACCTCTGAAATACACACACACACACACACACACACACACACACACACACATATATGAAATATTTATACACATTTATATATAAAATATATACATGCATATATAATATATACACATATAAAATATATATACTATGTATACATATATAAAATTATACACATGAACTTCTGTACTATCATATAGCATATATAATATATACATAGGAATATATTAAAATAGAACAAAATTTTTAAATCAATATAAATAGAATTTCTATTTGCACCCTAACAGATGCTGCAGTCACCCTCCAGAGTGAGCCATCCCACAGTGGCATTCATAAATATTTATATTGACCCCTTACAGAGAGTTCAAAGTTGTAGCATCTGCGACTTTCATTGGCCTTTTAAGATCTCACCTGATTCTCCTGAAATCTCTAAAGTAGGTGGGACAAGGAAATAGATGAAAGAGGTTCAGATATTAAATGACTTCCCCAAGGTCTCACAGCTCATAAGGAGCCGATTTGGGCATCAGATATGCCCCTGCTCCTTTTTTTTTTTTCCCACATGAGTGACAAAGCAGACAGTAGCTCAGGGATGCTACCTGCATCATTAAGCAATGATGAGACTTTACCTCTTGGCTTTCCTCTAGCACTGATTATACAGTGAGCAAACAGCAGGGACTACATACATGATGGGAAAATTAAGCACAAGGGCAAGGGTCTGCAGAAAGGGGAAGAAAAGAAAAGGAGAGAGGAGAAAAAACAGGATATGAAAGAAAGGAGAAGAGGAAAACGAAAAGGGAGGTTTTATTTCAGGTATTTTAGATCCTTCTTACCAAGAGCTTCAAGATGCAGGCTTTGAAAAACTGTTAAAAAATTCAAATCTGAGTCTTACGAAATATTTGTTATAAAAGCCTGACTCTTAATAAAAGGCTTAATTTTCAAATGTATATTCCTACATGGATATAAAACATCCAAACCCAAATCTCAGCTTACGAACTGGTGAAAGTGCTGAACCCTGGGTGTGAAATGTGTTTGTGTGGACTCTCTGGGTGTGTGCCTCCTGAGAATTCACTCCTGGAGTTCACCCACCGAAGTCAACAGCAGGTCTCCCTTAGATGATGTCACATGGGTATGTTTCTCAGATTTAGTGCTCATTTTAATCCTAAGACTGGCCACAAAGCTTAACAAGTGTTAACTGCAGGTTCTTTATCCTCATTGATATTTATTTTTTATTGAACAAAACTACCCTGCTTTAGAAAATGTGTCCCCCATCATTCTACGAATGAATCAGACTTCCCAAATAGATCACTAAATTAAAATAGGTGAAACCTATAAATAGCTAATGGAAAATGTAGAGCAGAATATTACTGGCAACATGCTGCCTTGGGTAATTTATGCTAAATAGCTCCTCTGGTTCCTCTTTATCATCACTGGGAACCTAATTGGGTTTTTTTTTTTTTTTAAGGAAAAGCTAGAAAAGGAGGTTTGAAAATCAATGTTCAAAAGACTTTAAATCCTGACATACTTGGTACTTTCCTGCTTATTTGCAGAGAGAGCCAGTCCACCTTAACAATAAATTTATAACAGTGTTGATTTGCTACCATCCAAATCAGACTGTCAAGTGTGTGTAGTATGTGCCAGACCAATTAGCACTAGGCAGCTCTGGAAAAGCAGGAAAAATTCCAGGTCACGAAGAGCTATTAGTTTCTACTTGCCAACCACATTTTCGTGTTTCCAGGGCCAATGGAATAGGCTGGATGCCTGATTTAATACTGAACACTTGAATTTATACAGAATCCCGAGGGATTACGATGCCCTTATAGAAATTAATTGCAAATAATGTGCAATTACCAAATATATCACCTCTAAATGAGGCTTTCCTTTTTTGAGAGGAGGTGTAACGCAAATGGCTTTGAGGCACAAAGCAGGCTTTAAATTGCTAGGGAAGTCTCTTGTGAAGCCTTTCTCTCACACTGGGCCTCCCTCATGCTTCCCGAGTGCCCGGTGAATCTCAGAGGCAGGCAGTGGCAGATGGGGGAGTTACTAGAACACAGACTGGCCTGCTGGAAGCTCCAAGACCATGCCAGTGGAGGCCAAGGAAATCAAATTGGGCCATAATTCCATGCTGTCAAACAGAAGCAGACACCAAAAAACTCAATTTATATGAAAAAGGGAAACAATTCCTAGTGGAACTCATGTCTCAGGAAGAAATGAGCTTATGAGAGTCACTGGAAGTTAGAACTCTTGCTCAGAAATGATCCTATATGTAGCACTCAGCTCCAGGGCCCTTTGTGTCACCTGTAGTGACACAGTGATGTGTATCATATGCTTTACTCAAATGCCAGCTTGTGGCCTTTTACTCCCTTTGGTGAGGCGAGCTATCATTTTCTTCTCTCCTGACCCAAGTTGTCCTCTTCACATCTGTTGGGAAACAAACTATGTTTTTTACCTCCTATGTATTCTGGCAGGACCTGAAATGAAGGGAGACTGAATTTCAATGGCTCTATGACAGATCCCACTGAAAAAGGAGGAGTTACGCTCAACAAGCACCCACGTGAGAAGTGAAGTTGTTTTGAAGGTGTAACATCCAGGCTTAGAAAGATAAGGCCATGCCCAGAAAAGGCTCTCTTTAATGGGGCTTTTATGAGTCTGAATGTTGATGTTAATGACTTTTAGGCAGTTTTTAGTTTTCAAGCAAAGTAGCAGGGTTAAGGGAGACACATAAGGATTAAGGAACAGTAGGAGGCCTCCTTTAAAAAGAGAAGAAATGGGCATTTTGCATTCACCACCACTTACCTCCTGCTCTCGTTGAAATATTACAACCCGACCCCCCTTGTCCCCTGTCGCTAGTAATTCTCCTGTGTGGTTGAATTCTACCGTAGAGATAATGTCAGCTGCAAAGAAGAAGACAAAGGCAATTTAAGTAACTGCACACTTACTTTGAAAGGATAGATAATAGACATACTTTTCTGTGCATTTAAGGGCTTAGGGCTTTGTCTCTGCAGTGGAATTTACAAGGATGTTATGTTCTAGGTTTTAAATGCCACCAGAAGTGGCACTTGGGAAATAAATTTCCTAGATGCCCACACTGCACTGTAGTCTCCCGAAACATCTGGAGAGAATAAAAGGGAAAAGCGCATTTAGACCCTTTTGTTTAAAGTAAGAGAAAATTAGCTTCATGATGGCTGATGGAAATGGCGATTTTCTTTGATAATTTCTACCAACCACAAACACTGTGCACCCATGGCCTTTACACCATGCCAAGAATCTTCCCCACACAGGTTGCAGTTGTGGCTGTTCACATCAGGGCTGGGGGCTGTGATGAAGCGAGGCGAGGATACTTGAAGCTCAGACATGGAAAATGGAGGAAGAGAGCACAAAGAGATCATTGGGAAAACTCTGCCAGGCACGAATTCAAGGAAGGAACTGAGGAATGCTCCAGCTTGACCCATGTCCCTCCTTTTCTTGTGAGTGCAACACATCCTTTTGGAAGAGCATGGCTTATTTCAACCCTGGGAGAATGGCACTGAGAAAACAAGGTCGTAAGGGCAGAAAAGTGAGGGCAATTTGTACTCTGTATTTCTAATCGGAGAAAATGTACAGGCACCAGGAACTCAGATCACAGATAATTGCCGAAGGAATGCCAGCCTGCCAAGTCTTTTTTCCATGCTGGTTACCCCCAGAGGAACATGGACAGGTAAATTACCTATGATTGGATTTATTAGGGCTATTTTTAGAAAAATGTCAGAGGTTAATTCCCCCACAATTATTCCCCTGCAGGGCTCCAACAATTGCTACTAAGAGTACAAATGAGTTAAAATAAAAAAAAAAAAAAGAAGCAGGGGAATTATGAGTATGGCCTTTGACAGGAACATTCTGAAGATAATGTCTATGTAAGAAAAGCAAAGGGGAAACAGTGAGGTGGAAAACTAAGGCAATTACCCCTGAGTAATTCCGACCTCGAATATTACTTTTATATCATCATTTCAGGATTTTCTTTCTATGCCTGATTTGTTCAGGTACGTAGTGTAAAATTCTCCACTTCACATATAACTGTCCTTTTCCATGTATGAAAATGCTCCTCATGGTCATTCTTTGCATAGAAGTTAATAAAAATAAGGCATAAACCTAGGTCACTTTCAAGCTAGACATATTTAAAAGAACAATTCTCAATTTCTTGTTTGGTTTCTTAGATAACTGACCTCATAGATAGCAAATTCAAAGCCCTACAGGGCCACGAAGTAACATAGATGAAGTAAAGCAGGTCAACTAGAAAGACCATGTCTCCTTTAAAGGGGAAAGTGGCTATTCAGCTTAAGCTGATTGGGGGCATGAAATATTGCATGTATTGCCTGATGTTCTAATTTTTAAAATATATATAGGAAGTCGGAAATCAGACTTTTATGCAAAAATCTCTTAAAGTTTATATATTGGCGAGTATTTTTTTCATTGCCATGAGAATGAACAAATTAATCATATATCTGTGGGCCGAATATAGTTTGTGGATCATCAGTTTATGACTTCTAGTCTATAGAGTCTTCATTTGGAATAGACTATCCTGTTCCATTACTGATGCTCTTAACTGGAAATCTAGTTCATTTTTTCAAGAAGACTCCTCCAATGAATGCTACCTTAAGGAAACACAAAATAAGCAATATGGTTACTAAGTTCCAGATATAAGTTTGGAAGTTTCATTTATGTAACCAATGCCCATGAATTGAGAAGAAAGTCCAGTCAGTGAGAAAGCCAGACACCTCAAGTGAGTTATTTGACCACTTTCCTTTGTTACCGTTTGCCCATCTTAGCAAACTACTCTCATGCTTAGAAGAGAGAAGGCATCTACTTAACATTTGCAGTTGCCTCAGATTGCCCTGCTTGAAAAGTACCAGTGCCAAGTTATGCTTCTAACATTAACCATGCTTCTGGCTTTTCAATGAGTGGTTAGCAAAGGGTTCTTCATGGGACTTCCCAATTTGGGTAGAGCCTAAAGTGGGAATGGCTATTGCTTTTCACTTTTGGTCTTTGGTCTAGTACAAAGGCTGGTCCAGTTCAAGGCTCTTGAACTGCTCAAACACAAACATTTCTCATAAAGAAAGAGTATTAGGAAATAATGAGAGGTCGGTGGGAGCCAGGCCTGAGGTTTACAATGCCCAGCTCTTGTCTGAGAGCTCCGTTCTAAGGTTGTGCTTACATGCAGTCTATGCCCTTTCACTGGGCAGTGATTAATGCAGAACACTAGAGTTCTGGATGGGCTGCAAGGCCCTTACAAAGAGAACTAAAGATGGGCCTTTCCTTTTGGTGAAGCTGGGTATCAGAAGAGAGTCGAGTAGCTTTTCCCAATGTGAGCTCTTGGCTCAGTTGCCAAGATGTCACTTCAAGGGGAATAACATTTGCTTTCCCAGGGGATGACACATATATTGTCCTTCTTCCTAGACTCTGAAAGTATCTTTATTTTCACTTTAAGATCCATGCAAGTCAAAACAAGGCAGGATTCAAGTGCAAGTTAAAGTCACATGATTTAAGCCAGTATTATTAGAATTCTGCATTTTGGAATATTAGGCATTGTCCCAGGTAATACAAATACTTTCTTTGTTTTCCAAGTGTTATCGTTCTTCAATGCTATGTCTCCCTCAAGAACCTTGTAAGAGAAAGGGTTATTTGCATGGCAGGATTCTGAAATTCCTTAGTCCTCTTGCGAAGACCTTATCTTTATTTTAATTCTACTAGCCAACTGCTCTGTACATGAACCTGTTTATATCATGCCATTGTCTACTTCACTTCAGAGAATATGCCATGGCAGCTCAAGTTAATACTTGTTTTGAACTTTCATGTTTCCTGACTCATTTATCATTGCTAAGCCAGTAGGTGTAACTGGAATACTTTACTGCCCCATCCATCTCTGCATATCTTCATCTATGACTGTTTAATAATTGATGCAAAACTCATGAATCACTCTACATTCCAATTTCAAGATACTGAAACTTCTGATACAAACACTCTTATGTTTTCAGCATGCTGTTTGGTAAGACAGTTTAAACGAAAATATACTGCTTAAAACCAAATAATTTTGTGATATGGAAAGAGGATATATCAAAATAAGGCAGAAAGTTTAGAGATGATAATGTCATTTGAAATCATGATCAACAGAAATCAACACATCAAGTTCAACACGGTTTTCACCTTTAAATTATAAGTTTATATGACAATTCCACATTTCATTAAATGCTCAACCTAATCATCCTGTTAATCAAGAAACTATAAATTTGAGCATTTTTCCTCTGTTCTATATAGCCGTGGATAAAGTACACATTGACTAAAACCAAAAGCCAAAAACAACTAGAGAGGTCAAATGTAGTTAAAACAATTTTTAAAGGAAACCCTGGGTGTTGTGAAGTTTGCCCTAGTCCAAATCTATTTGTGCTGATTTAATTTCCACAAGATGGTGGCCTGGTAGCCCCATTTCTGGCTCAATAGGCATTATTAAGGCTGAGGTTATTTTTTTTTTTAAATCAATCTCAGCATCCTACAAAAGGTAGCTGGGCGTTTGGCACGCGCCGGTAGTCCCAGCTGCTTGGGAGGCTGACGCGGAAGAATCACTTGAATCTGGAAGGCGGAGATTGCATTTAGCCAAGACTGTGCCACTTTGCTCCAGCCTGGCAACAGAGCAAGACTCCGTCTCCAAAAAAAAAAAAAAAGTTCCAGACTGGTAATTTCATACACAAAGTATCATTTACCTGAATAACAGATATTGACTTAACAGTGATATTCATGTGAGGCTAATGATTATGAGGCTTAGGAAAACAGATGAATCTCCTAGTTTATCCCTAGTCTTTTGCAGTATCATGCCAGGCTGGAATCTATCTAATGCCAGATGATTGAGTTGAGGCAGGCACCTGGATTATTAGGCGATGTACAGTTCACATAGTAGGGTGACTGTTTTGATAAAATGGTGATTCAGTTTAGACTTAGGATCTAAACTCAAAGTCTACAGATGGAACATCTTACTGACCAGGTCACTAGCACTGACCTCTCAACATCAATCACAGAGATCGAAATGAAAGGGTAATGCAATTTAGCTTTCAGAGCCCATTAAATGTTTTATCTTTCATCTAAGAAACATTTGGTAGGTAATATCATAAAGTCATTTACCCTACTTGTATCAGCTGACTAGTTCCGCCCACTCAATACTTGGCTTTATTTCCAATGATTGGATTGGGTTTTGGTAGTTTTTTCCCTCTGCTAAGACAAGAATGGAAAATAGATTTCATAGTGGATGACAATGGTGAAATAGTCATAGTTACCAGGTTTGTGTTGAGAAGGTTTTGCAGGGTCACTTCTAGGCTGGGGTGCCATGATTAATGGGTAATAAATCTGGGGTGGGGGAGGTAGGATGTGTATCATTTGTCATCTCAGTACAGAGGCTTCTAGCTAGACTGGCAATGACTACTTTGTGGATCATTAAACAAACGGGATTCTTAGGCATCCTAGTGGGATGGGTAATAAATTGTTAATAAACAATTGTTCCTCCCATCCATATAAAACTATAGTATCCTTCTTGGGTCCTGGTTCACAGTCCAAAGTCAGCATCCATTTTCTCTGATAAGGTTATTTTCCACAAATAGGGGTTGGGGAGGGGACAGGAAAGAAGTCTAGTTATGGCCAAATCCAAATACTCCTACTGGGATGATGTCAAGATGACCTTGTTGAAAGATGTTAATATGTCGTAAAATTTGAAAAGAATTAGTCAATAAAAGAGTTTATGTCAAATGGTTGCAATTTTGTCAAAGAGTTTTCATCTCAGAATTTATCTTTTCTTTCTTTCTTTTTTTTTTTGGCAGAGTTAGCTGAGGTTTTCTCTTGGACAACAACAACAAAAAAGCAATTGGATTGTTTG